AGAATATTGATAGAAAATTGAAGTGTCAAACAAGTGGTTTTAATGTGAGAATACTTAATGAAGTGATTGGCACAGTGTTGATACTGACTAAATATGTGTTCAGAGGAGGATACCTAGTACTTTAACATTTGATTAGGAGCACACATGTCAATGTTTTGTCCAGCTGTCTGGTCATCCTGTCTTTTATCCATCCATACACTGTTTCATCAAATATTTATTGAAAGTCCGTTCTCTTTTTTTCCATTTTCCACTTTAAGCCTTTTTCCCCTTACATAATGTGGTACCCATAGTTCTGCCGCTCTGTCATTATAACATTCCCTCGTACTCATCCCTTGTGTATAGCCCCTCTGCTCTGTCCCCTTTATTGGTATGATTGGTTCTGTGGAGAGCTGCTAATTTTGACTTTTTATTGACCTTTTGTTTGGCTTGTCTATGTCCACACATAAGTGAGACTATTCGGTATTTTGCATATTTCTTTTCTGATCCTTGAAACAGTGTTCAAGGATCATCTCCTCTTTGTACTTGTTATTTTCAGGAAAACGGGCATGTGCAGGAGAGGGCCTGGCCCGCATGGAGCTGTTTTTGTTCCTCACCACCATCTTACAGAAGTTTACCTTGAAGTCCGTGGTTGACCCGAAGGACATTGACACCACCCCAGTGGTCAATGGATTTGCTTCTATGCCTCCTCCTTACCAGCTCTGTTTCATTCCTTTGTGAGGAAGGACAAATCATCAGGTTCTGCTGTGAGGTCCACAACTCCACCTCACCTGTTGCCCCTTCACCTCCATCTCCTCCTTCCCTTCCTGGGAATGTCATCTCTGACCTCTACTCTCCTCAACACCCCATTCTGTCAGGATCTAGGCAGGAACATCCTATCTCTACCAAAGAAGGATTTCCAGAGTCACTGCACAAATATATATATAGCTGTTCTCCTTGCTATAACACTTCATTGGCATCTCATATTAATACTTATCTAGTATTGAGTAGCTAGTTCAGTGTCATCAATGTGACAGAGTGAAGTGATTGGCATATATAATAGACATTTCTCCACTGCATGTTCTCAATAAAACTCACAATCTGATGAACCAGGTCTCATGGTTTCATTCCTTTGTGTATAAAACAGATATCAAATGGAAGAAAATGTTATAAAAGAGACCATGCAGAGAGAGGGACAAAAGGCATAAGGACAGACCAGCATGTTACCTGGAGTTACTTGGGGTTTGGATTTGCACCTGAGAGAGTTGTGTCCAGGAGCAGCTTCATCTTGAAGAAAATATAACATCAGTATTTAAAAGTGTCTGTTCTAGAAATGGGAGAAGTAATCTGTGGTGCTGGAATCCAGAGCAGCATTGATTCTGAGGGTGGCGAGTGACTAGGAAGGCATCTGGGGCACTTGTCATGGAATTGGGAATTTTCTTGCTGTGATATGATTGGTTACTTGAGTGTTGTATTTGAGTATGAAGTTAGTGTAGTTTTGTCCCAACCATTGATCAGTGGTTGTCAGGGGTGATGCAGAGGAAGGATGGAAATGGAGCACAGGGTTTTTAGGAGAGTGAGAGTCCTCTGTGTGATACTGTAATGTTAAATACACGCCCTCCTGTATTTATCAAAATCCATAGAATGTGCAACCTTGAAGGCACACTGATGTAATGGATGCACTCCATCTATAGAGTCAGTGTTGTTATATCAATTGCAACAAATGGATCACAACAGGAGGTGAGGTTCCTAATGGTGGCAGAGACTGCGTGTGGGTATGGAAGGCATAATATGTGGGAAGATATACTTAATGTTTAGTTTTGCTGTGTATGTAAAACTTTAAAAATATGTAATCTATTAACTAAAAGAAAACTTCTAAGTGACAAGTAAAGTTTACCAAGGTAAAGTTTATACTACTCTGGGACAATAGAAATCTTCATGGCCTCTTGATCATTCAATAGGGATGGGATGACTATTTCATCTGAGATGTCATAGAACAGGGTAGGAAATCTGAGATTGAAAGGAAAGTTCTCTGCTAACACAATAGTGATTCTTTATCTCATTGAGTCACCAAACAGTGAAAAAAAGAAAGTTTAGTTGATTCTAGGGATCTGCTGTATCTTTACATTATATTTGACTCTCATTCAATAATGAGAAAGGATCAGTAAAGAGCCTCAGCAGAAGGAAAGTGGAAGATAAGAGGAATGTTAAAATCTCAAGGAAGAAAATAAATGTTCTATTAATGTGAATGTCTTTTAGCCAATATAATTTGATGTGGTTCTTTTAGAGTATAGAACTTTGTGAAATAGTCTGCAAATTGCTGCTTTTCTTTGTTTGGGGCAAGATTACATTGGGTCTTGGACTTACTTGAGTTGTAAGTGTAAGGTTGAGGTGCCCAGGGTAAGGCTGGGGGTGGAAATCTTGAATTTGGGGCTGTTACTGTCTGCTTACCAGGAGACTCCTAATCTTGAGTCTCATAAATTCTGGGAACTGCCTGCTTTCCAGCAACTGATAATCGTCATTGATGAATCAATTTCTGAAAAGCAATTTCCACACCCTACAAAAGCTTACCTATATTCCCCAGTGGGTGTAACTTCTCCAACCCCCATGGGGGTTAGAGCACAATCAAGTTTATTCCTGCTTCTCAGAAACTTTGCCTGATCTTTCACCCTTTAACTGTGCCAAACCTTTCAGTAAGGTTATATAATTAAACTCCCCTAACCCCCATTTTAGTTAATAAGGTAATTATTAACAAAATTAATACCTTGGAAATCACAGATGGAGATGAATCATGCAGTGTTGATCCAGAGCCCACTTAAGTAACTGTTGTGACCCGATGAACTCAATGTTTGCTTGGAGGGGGCTGTGCGTTAGTCAGGAGATGTGGGTTCCAATCTCAGCTCCAACAGCTGCAGGTACTGTGCCCTGGGTACAAGGATAGAAATTTCCAGGCCAATTTTCTCAACCCTAAAGTGGGACTAATTTTATTTCAGGAAAAGGTAACTGAGAGAATCAAAAAGGATAAGATAGATGTGAAGATGTATGAGCAATAAAACATTTTAATTTGTCTTGAATACTAATTTTCCTTTACCAATGGAACTGAAAACTGCACTAATCAATTTAGAACAAATACGACCATATCCTTGCAGAACTCACGTTTGGAAAGCATTGTCATTAATATTAGTAGTGTGTGATAGACATTCCATTGGTACTCAGTCTTGTGAACACTAAGTATCATCTCTTATTAAGGTCAGTATGTGTGGTTTGAGCTGTGAGTCTATTTAGTGAAATCCCTAGCTCCCACCCTCCACTGAGCCCATACCTCTTACTCTGTCTCTAATCTCCCTTCCTTGATCTGCACACTTCATTCGTTATTTTCCACAATATGGATTCAAAAAGCCTGTTGAAAAAACCCAATGGAATGCAGCTTTACCTGGGGAAAGCAATAGGCAGATCAGGGAATTCACTCTTTTTTAAGCCTTACCCCTAAATTCTCTACAATTGGCACTTCCAATTGTTTATTATGCTGAGCAGGTTTCACCCTTTAGTGATACAGAGGGGAGAATCCTCTGTCCTGTTTTTAAATTTCTTGAGAACTTATACCCTTTAGTTCTTGGAATCAATGAGAAGTAAAGCTGTTAATCTGTAGATGAGGGGCCAGAAGGTAGTAATATATGAAGAGTAATATATGAAGAATGACTTTGGGAGATTAGTTTTTCTTAAACTTTTCTTGAAGGAGCTGGGTGTGTGAAGGCATCAACTGAAACTCACATCTCATTTTAAATCCTGGTTTAATCAATTTGAGTTACTTAGGACACTGCACAGACATCCTGTTCACTCAGAGTCACCTTTTTCCCCCTCGTATAATATTTCCTTTGCAGTGATTTTAGAGTTTGGGGAGTGAGATCATGGTAAAAGACATGTAAATTTACTGAACCTGTTATTTTTTTGTATTTATTTTTTAAAGATATATTTATTTATGCTTATAGACCTGGGTTACAGGCCAGGGTGAGAAGATTCACCAGAGACAGGGTGGGAAACAGAACAGGCAAATCTACTGAAATATGCTGTTAAAGGGAGCTGCGGGTCAGGTGAGGTCTGCCACGCCATATGGGTCAGCTCCCTGGCTGGGGATCAAACTCTGGCTGCAGTGACTTCAGAGAGCTTCATAATGCGGTGCTTTAATCCAGTGCACCACCAGGGAGAGCCCTATTTTGTTTTATTTTTATTTATTTATTTATTTTTAGGTCACTTCAATTTAGTTACATAGCTTTTGTATTTTGAAAGTCTGGGGTCCCACCTTCTAGAGTTGTCACCACAGTGCTCCCACCACCAAAGTACTCATCACCCCCCACTGTAAATCATCATGTTCCCTCCCACTACAAAATTCTTAACTGGTCATTACATTGATTCCAGATTTGAATTATTTTGGTACTGAATATTTTCACCAGTGGTTTCGAATAAGGCTGTATATTGGAACTATGTTTTGCATTTTTTTAATGATTTATTTGTTTATGCATACAGAACTGGAGTACAGGCCAGAGGTGCAGGGGTGGTGAGAGGTTTCACCAGAGACAGAGCGGGGAGCAGAACAGGCAGATCGGCGAAGTACACTGCTGAGGGGAGCAGCGGGCAGGTCCGGAGAGGTCTGCTGCGCCATGTGGGTCACCTCTGGGGCGGGGATTGAACTCATGCGCCAGGGGTTTTCAGAGAACTTCATAATGTGGTACTTCAACCTGTTGCGCCACCAGGGAGGGCCCTATGTTTTGCTTTTTTAATAATCAATACAAGTCCTTAGTCCAGTGCAATTAAGCTAAATGTCCAGAGTGATGACTCAAGAGAATGAAAACAAGCTAAAGAAAAATTTCTGTTTATCAGTGGACCAAAGGCCACTTAGACAATAGAAAGGGATGAGCTGATTGACCTCTGTATCTCAGAGCAACACATGTTGAAATAACAAGGGGTGTTGTTATAAAAGTTTAAGAATCACTCTCAGGTTTTCTGAGTAAGAAGAGAAAGCTACAATGGACCTGATTGTGGCCTTAGTCCTCTGTCTCTCCTGTTTGATCCTCCTTTCCCTCTGGAAGCAGACTTCTGAGAGAGCAAAGCTCCCGCCTGGCCCCATGCCACTTCCGATTATTGGAAATATTTTACAGCTAAATGTTAAGGACATCAGCAAATCTGTAAGCAATGTGAGTATTGCAATTGTGTTCAGACAATTAACTGAAATTAAAAAAAAGTTCTTGTTTACCCCTTTGATTTTTATAATAAAATATTAGCATGGAGGCATGATATCAAAGTAGGCTTTGAAAATCAAATGCTGCCTGTTATTTTGATATTTCTCTTGCCTTTTCAGCCAGTCATTCTAACAAATAGTGGAATGAAATAATGCATTCAGTGAGTAAACAAACTTTTCCTTTGGAAGAATGAAAATTGTAAAGTGACAAAAGGGAGGAGTGTTGCTACCTCCTTGTTCTACTACGATTTGCTATGATTTTGATGGAAGGTAAATGGTAAGGGAAATGTTTTGTCATAGATTTTATTCTAGAAGTCACCTGTTGCGTGGCTGTGTGTTTATTGAGATTGTACTAAATTTAACATCTCTGAAGAAGCACACTGTCTATAACCATGAAAGACCTCTGGGCTTAGGAAGAGCATGAGTGAATGAAAGGAAGTAATCAGTCAGGACCCAGTTGTGCGAACATCATTCACCTGGTAAACATCATTTACCTACACAGCTGACCTCTATCTGGAGGAGTGCTTCAGGGTGGAAGGAATTGTTCTTCCTTGAGATGGCTTTGCCCTGACAGTGCCTCTGTGGGGCCCACTGTGTGTGTTAGTAATTCCAGCAGATCACAAGCTGGCTGGGCATCAGAATTACCTGAATTGATCTTTTAAAATACAAATGTGTGGTCTTCATCACAGGGCCATTTTATCAGAACTCCCCCAGCAGGGCTCTGTAGGTGTTCCTGAAGCAGTCAGCTGGGTTTGGTCTAAAGGTGGAAGCTGAGGACTTGTCAAGGATCAGTGGACAAATAAGAGGTTCAAATCTGGAGCTACTAGAAATACATTGAAATAGTGTGATCTCAGTTTCGATATTTGTGGCCAGCTTGCAATGCTGTGTCCTAACCCATTGCGCCACCAGGGAGGGCCAGTTTCATTATTTGAAACAGAGCAAATAAACTTGCTGAAGGTTCACATGGGGTAATAGTAACTGATGTATCAAGTACGGGCTAGGCCACTCCTGGCACATCCTAGGTCATGCATAACTGGCAACTAACAATCACCCATATTTATCTTCAATTCATAAATACTAGACTGTAAAGGGTAGCCTAACCAATCTGAAAGTAGTATTCTGAATTAGGTACAATACATGATCAAGTAGTGACTTCTTCTGTCCAATATGCACATCCTTTCCCAGCTCTCCAAGACCTATGGCCCTGTGTTCACTCTGTATTTTGGCATGAAGCCCACTGTGGTGTTACATGGATATGAAGCAGTGAAGGAAGCTCTGATTGATATGGGAGAGGACTTTGCTGGAAGAGGAAATTTTCCCCTGGCTGAAAGAGTTAGTAAAGGAAATGGTAGGTGTGGGTGTGACAGGTGTATTATTGGTTATGAGGACAAAAAATGGGTCTTGAGCGCCCTCCCTGGTGGCGCAACGGGTTAAAGCACAGCACTGAGAAGCTAAAGCCACTTCCGCATGAGTTCGATCCCCGATCCCCGCCTGCCCCGGAGGAGACCACATGGCGTGGCAGACCTCTCCTGACCCGCCCGCTGCTCCCCTCAGCAGTGTACTTCGCCAATCTGCCTGTTCTGCTCCCCACTCTGTCTCTGGTGAAGCCTCTCGCCGCCCCTGAGCTTCTGGCCTGTACCCCAGTTCTGTATGCACAAATAAATAAATCTTAAAAAAAAAAAAATGGGTCTTGAAATCTCCCCAAGTATTCTTTCCCTGTTGCCATATCTGTCGAGTGTGTGCTTCCTCCTCTTTCCCTAGGACCCCATCTCAGTTTATTTTACCCCATATTAGGAGTTGTTTCCAGCAATGGAAAGATGTGGAAGGAGATTCGCCGCTTCTGTCTCATGACCCTGCGGAATTTTGGGATGGGGAAGAGGAGCATTGAGGACCGAATTCAGGAGGAAGCCCGCTGCCTCGTGGAGGAGTTGAGAAAAACCAATGGTGGGTGATTCTCTGCTCTGTAGTTGTGACCTTAACTGACTGTATTCTCTAGTGACATCCTTAGGGACTTTCTCTGGGTGACCAGATCATTCATTAGGGGTAGTGGTGGCTAAGCCTGTGTGGAAATGGGGAGTTTGAAGCACAGTGTCAGGGAGCTTTTATGTATACATGCTTGTTTGTGTTTGTATTCATGATTGTGTGCACAGTGTAGGTATAAAAGATCATTTTATCTGTTTCTCTCCTGAGGTCTGTTTTTTAATGAGGAATAACAAGAAATAGACTGAATCATTTTCTGAAAGTGAGAGAGCAGTGTCTCTATTGTAGGACATTTCACCAGGTTGATAGATTTTAATCAGGTAGACATATCCTTGTGTTAATTTTATCTGTTATGGTTTCTCTATTTCTCATTTTAGTGTACTTAAGAAGTACGTCTCATATTTCAAACATCTTTATCAGATAATTGCTGTTACTCCTTTCCCTCTGGATATTTACTTCATTCTTTTTGTGAAGTATTTTCTGATGTCTTGTATGTTTTAAACTTAGTTTTGGGACCCACACATTTAAGTAAATGTACAATCTCCCTGTCTTTATTGATTGCCTTGATGTAAGGCAAATTCCTACCAAGTATTCCTGGTTATATTTTCTAGGAGTTCTGATTTTTTTCCCATGCACATTCTGTGTATACCTTTACAGTTAGTGAGGCTACCAAGTTCTTTTTTTTTTTAAGAATCTTGAAATTTGTTGTTGTCTGTGGATTGCAACTCCATAGCTGGCTTCACAAAATATGCTAGAATAACTTCAGACCCTATATAGTTGCTAGTTTAGTGTTTTCATATGATAACAATGGCTGGCATTTCCTTATCTGCCATCATCTTGACATACTATGCTGTTATACTTGGAGTCATTTATAATGATAATTACTGATATGAATTTTAGATCTTTACTAATAACAATCTTTCAGTGATCATTCAGTTGCAACACTTGTATTTTACAGATCCCTTAGAATGGAAAAATCTTTTTTCCTTGGTAATTTCTTTATTGAGAATAGGACAGATCTAATCTAAATAATACAAAAATAAAAAATAAAATAAAATAATAAAATAATGTATTCTTACTGAATATAATCCTACAAGTTATATAGGGTAGCTTTTCTCAAATAAATTAATTCTTGATGAGAATAATGAATAACCATATACCAGAGACATTTTGTGGGGGTGGAGTGGGGAATGGGATCAAAAACGGGGAGGTGTGGCGGTGGGGAGGGAAGTGCACGGGATTATGGTTATGGCACACTGGTGACTCGGTGATGGGAAAACCACGGGGATTACAATTGAGATGAAAAAAAAAAGGTACAAAATGATGTAAAAATAAACTGTTATAATAAAAAAATTAATTATTGATGGTGATGGAAATGACGGATATTTGATTGTTAAAGAGGAATTATTTTTGAAGTGAGGTGAAAAACAAAACTGTCAATTTACATTTGTGGTGACTTCCTGAGATTTATGTTAAAAAAGCAAATTCCTTTTTGATTTCTATTTTGGATAAAGTCTCTTATAATTCTGTCACTGCTTAGTTTCTTGTTATTCAACACAGACTCCTCTGGCTCCTTTGCATTTATTCTTACAAGTGCGTTAATTCACTCATCGTTCCCTCTCTTTTGTTTGCCCTCTGCTGAGATTCCAAGTGTTTTGTATATGTTTATTATACACAAAGCATTTTCAAGTTCTTAACTGTTCCCTCTTTCTATATTTCTTAACTCTTTTCCAGACAAGTGAGGTTCAGCCAGAAAACTCTATTAAATGATATATAAAAATGGTCTGTTAAATGATTTTTTTCTTGTTTCTACACTTAAGTCAACCAGATTGGAAAGGGTGCGAATAAAGGCAATAGAAGTAAATGACTATTCAAAAATAACTATTATTTAACTAGCAAGGTCGAACCATATCTCGCAGGTTAATGAAAAAGTGATAACACTGATTTCAATGTTTACGGTATTTACTGAGGTAACATGATTAAGACACTCTATGCTTCAGCGGTGTAGATCACATTTTTACAATTGTATGTTACCACAACATGCTTACCGCCAAAGCGCCCATAATCCTTCACCTGTACCTGAGCTCCGTCTGCCTTTCTTCCCATCTTGTAACTTCCCCTTCTGGTAGCTTCAGTTCTGCAATTAGATTTCAAGTGTTTGTTTTGGTCTATTCCTTTGGCTTGTTTCTTTATATTCTTCTTATGAGTGAAATAACCCAGTGGTTGTATTTTACATTGTGACTTCCATTTTTGTCATAATCCACTCCAATTCTATCTCTGTTGTTACAAATGGCAAGATTTCATCTTATATTTACAGCTAAGTAGTTTTCCCTCATGTTTCTATACCTCATTTTTTTTATCCCCTTATCTGTTAATGGATACTTAGGTCATTTTTATAACTTGGCATTGTAAGTAGTGCAGCAGTGAACTGAAGAGTGCATATACCCTTTCAAATTGGTGCTTTTGCATTCTCTGGTGATACCTAGGAATTGGGATTGCTGGATCATATGGTAGATCTATTTTTCAGTACTTAAGAAACCTCCATACTGTTATCCAACTAGACTGCATTAAGTACATCCCCTCATATGTTTATTTTATAAATGAAGTCTCTTTTGCATTGAAGGAATTTATATATAAGGCAGTAAATAACTTTCTTAAATTATCTTTTCCTGTTTCCCTGTCTATATGTGTATTTGCATGTGAATGTGTATTTTTTTATGTTGTATTTTGAAATTGTTTCTGATTCTTTAGCTTCACCATGTGATCCCACTTCTATCCTGGCCTGTGCACCCTGCAATATTATCTGCTCGATTATTTTCCAGAATCGTTTTGATTATAAAGATCCAGTTTTTTTAAACTTAATGAAAAGATTTAATGAAAATGTCTCGATTTTGAGTTCTCCATGGATGCAGGTAGGTCCAAATTCAGAGGAGTCAGTTAGGTGTTTTTCTCTAAGAAGGCCAGGTCTTGGGATGCACCAGTCTGTGAATGCATGAGCATCACAGTCCTGCCTATACCTCAGAGAGTGCTCACCTGGGAAAAAGACTTAGGCAATCAAGTATGCAAAAGAAAACATGTGTTCTGAATACAGACCTGGCATCCAATCCTATTGACCCTATTTCATGTTGATTCTACTACACTCCTAAACCAGATTCTGTGTTCTTTAGTAACTTCCTCAAAGCATGTTCATAGCATGAAATAGATCCCACGTCCTTGTAGACTTCAGCACCCCGAATCTATCATCCTGTTAACATGCAGTGATATCTAACTCAAGAGTAGGCGGAAATATGCAAATTTAGGAAGATAAAGAATATCTCTTTCAAGTGGGAAGAATAGTCGGGAAGACAGATGATGCCTAGGAACACTGACAAGGGAGGGGTGTTGCATGCTTCAGGTGGTAATTGTGAAGGTAATTGTTTGGGGGGTGGTGAATTGACTGGTTTTATGGCAGCTGACCCGTAACAAATCTCACAATTTGCCCCTGTGCTGAGCTGATGTATTCTACATCTGTCTGGAGAATGTTACTTCACTACAATGGTGCAGCTACATACATGTAAAATGTTGAGGTGTGTAATTCTGTGTTCAAGGCTACTAGAAGTAGCAGAGTCTAACTACATTGTACTTTATGTAAGATTACCCAGCCTCCCTTAATCTCTGTTGTTGATGAGCCATAGTAATTTATGCCATCCCATATTTCCAGAACTGATGTAAGCAATAAGGGGATTGACATAAAATTGTGTTGTAGTATAAGTCTGATATTTGAGAATAGAAAATGATACCCTGATCAGAATCATTTTTCTCTAAGATTATTAGCAGCATATAAAATTATGTACAGGTAAAATAAAATGTTTCCTCTGGTAAAGACCATATTTCTTTACTATTTATAAAGTACTATGTAACCATTGGCATATGGCATATAAGTCTTCTTTTTAGTTATTTATTTGTTTGTTTGTTTGTTTATTTGATCTAATTTTCTCTTATAGTTCTGCAATATGTTCCCTGTTCTCCTTGATGTTTTTCCTGGGAGTCATAAAAAAGTGTTTAAAAATATTGCATATATAAAAAATTATATCTTGGAGAAAACAATGGAACACAAAGCATCTCTAGATGTTTCTAATCCTCAGGACTTTATTGATTGTTTCCTTATCAAAATGGGAAAGGTAAAATGACAGTTACATTATTTAATTGTGCAAGTTTGGTTGCTTGAAGCATTCTATATTTACTAGAGGTGTTTCAATAGTTAGCCAACTAATGCCTCCAAGCTCTTTCTTTCTTTTTTTAAAAGATTTGTTTATTTCTTCATATAGAACTGGGGTACAGGCCAGAGATGCGGAGGGTGAGAGGATTCACCAGAGACAGAGCGGGGAGCAGAACAGGCAGGTCGACGAAGTACACTGCTGAGGGGAGCAGCGGGCGGGGTCAGGAGAGGTCTGCGGGGGCGCCTTGTGGAGCTCCTCTGGGGCAGGCGGGATCGAACTCATGTGGAAGTGGCTTAAGCTTCTTAGTGCTGTGCTTTAACCCTCTGCGCCACCAGGGAGGGCCCAAGCTCTTTCTTACCTACTGGGTGTATGCCTATACAACAGTATTATGGGAGACGTAGTTTTTTGTAAGATATATTTTTATTTATTTATGCTTACATGAGTTAGAGTACAGGCCAGAGGTGCAGGGTTTGAGGGTACTGGGAGGTTGAAAGGATTCAGCTGAGACAGAGTGGGGAGCAGAATAGGCAGATCTACTGAAATACACTGCTTCAGGGAGCAGTGGGCAGCAAGACAGGAAATTTGTGTTTTGCCATGGAAGTCAGCTCCCTAGCAGAAGAATGAACTCCTGCTGCAGTGGCTGCCAATAGCTTCCTAGTCCTGTGAATTAACTTCTCGTGCCAACATGGAGGCCAACATTATTCTGCTAAATAAGAGGAATAAATTTATCTTATTCTTTAGATGCTAATTTCAGTATTGTTTGGGCTGAATTTCATTATGAATTTACGAAAACGTAGTAATTTCTAAAAGACACCAGTGAAGATTTTGATATACCTTGCTTGCCTTAGAGATGAGACAGTAGAAAATCATACTTGAACCCACTGCTATCTGGTGTTTTATATTCAATAAGGGGATGTCATAGAACTAAACGTGCAGTTTATTTCTTGTGAGAAATTCTTAACAGTATAAATATTTTTAGATTAATTATAATTCTGGCAAATTAATTTGTCAAATAATTTCATCATTCCTAGGAAAAACACAATCAGGACTTGGAATTAACTCTAGACTCCTTGGCAATTACCGTACTTGATCTGTTTGGAGCAGGGATTGAGACCACAAGCACCACCCTGAGATACGCTCTCCTCCTGCTGCTGAAGCACCCGGAGGTCACAGGTATGACCCATGTGGTGGGCAGGGTGAGTTTCCCGGAAGTTACCTGGAGACACAGCAAGTGCTGCCTTCCCTCCTATTTCTTAGAGAAGCTTCATTATGTAAGTATCTGTCTGACCAGCTTCACTTTTCCAAGTTTAATGAAGAGATAATAACGGGACATTTGTATATAATATGGGAGGATAAATAGGAGTCAAGACTCTAAGAGCAATGGAAAGCTTCCAGGTAGTGACTGTGCTTCATGGGAGCTTATTTATGACAGGCACAGCCAGTATGAATCTACCAGTATGCATACTGGTTTTATGATGAAGAGGTCATATTGAAAGTAGGAGTATAATCTGGAAATCTGTCCTATTCTGAAAATGCATGTTCTAAAACCAGGGTAAGGAAAATGAAAAATCTTCTTATTAAACATAAGAGGAAAAATGAGAAGCCTACTGTGTGTGCCTGAGATAACTTCTGCAGTCAGGGAAATAGTGTGAAAAATTAAATTCACAAATAGTGTGCTAGACTGCTCAGGCTTAAGATGTGCTTGATGGTAATGACTATTCAGAAGTGTTTCCAGAGAAGTGGTATTTGCCAAATATAATTTTGGTCAATACTTTTCAGTCCTTTACAAAGATCTTTATGTTTATATTTAGTAAGTTACAGTTATGCATTATTGTTGGAAACATGCATTATATCATTCCTGTGCAAGGAACATGCTGAAATGAGTGTGACCAATTAGAAATGAGAAGCAGTCATTGAAATCTGAAAAGACTAACTCAGAAAATAATGAACAAATCACCACTTTCTAAAACACAGATAGTATTTTGATGGATGATGATGACTCAGTAAAAAGGTGCTAGTTGTCACGTAAAAGTCAGAAGAAGACATGTATGCCTCTAGATTGTAGCATTTGAAATTCTCAAAAAAGAATGAGAAAGAAACAGGCTGAAGAAGGTAACTCTCCCAGCCCAGATTCCCTGCACACATCCTTTTATCAGGTAACTGTTTTGGGCCAATAGAATGAGGGAACTTTAATTTTTAGAGAAGCTGAAACTAAAAAACCTTAATCTCAAAGACACTAGCAGCTAGCAAGAGGTTAGGTACAAAATCACCTCTGGAATTCAGGGAATCTTAGCTCCTTTCCACCCTGCTTCCTGAAATAAAGCCCGGAGAGTGAAGAGCTCTGGAGAAAAGACCACTGGTTTGGCATTATAGATAGAAAATTTCTATTATGGGTGCTAGTAAGTGGGTATTAAAGGTGTATCCTAATCCTAATTTATAGGAGAGTTGTATCTACTTATATTATCTCTCTATGTCTAGCTATGTTTCTTTGTTCATTCCTGAGGCTAATAATGATGTCAAAGACTGATACAATGCATCTTCTGTCCCCTAACTGATGGGCAGATGACATAGGTATTCTCTTTGCTCATCAGTCTTACTTGTGTTTTGTCAGCTAAGGCCCAGGAGGAGATTGAACGTGTGATTGGCAGACACCGGAGCCCCTGCATGCAGGACAAGAACCACATGCCCTACATGGACGCCTTGGTGCACGAGGTCCAGAGATACATTGACCTCCTCCCCGTGAACCTGCCCCATGCAGTGATCCGTGACATCAAATTCAGGAACTATCTCATCCCCAGGGTAAGGCTGGTTGTCCCGTTGCTGACATCATGATTCCACTCAGAAGTTCCTCTTTTCACACCATGGGTCCAATCCTCCAGACAAGATGAGCAAAACATGAAATTCATATATGTGGCAAGTCAATGGATTTGTGTTGTTTCCATTTGACACTACAACGTTTGATAATAGCACTTTTCTACTTATATTTATGAGACTTTTGTGAGATGGTGGTGTGCTTGCCTTACGATTACAGCTTTGTTCCAGGGATTAGGGTCAAATTCACTGTTTTCCACCAAAGGATATAATGAGAAGACTTCTTTTTTAATATTGGGGTCAATTAGTAATAATTAGTGAACTCATTCTCCTATTTCAAAGTCAGTAACAACAGGGCACTGGGGGTAAGCAGGATTGTCTATCTTTCCCATCTGCTCTGAGGCAATGATCATTCCTCAGCTTAGGATATCCTGGCATCGAGTATGCACTACTGCACAGCTGATTGTGCCTTCACCAATTACATAATGATTTCTGCTCCCAAACCTGGATCCATGGATCAAGGTACCGTCTAAGAAAGCATGACAGGACCATCCCTGGTGGTGCAGTGGGTTAGGACACAGCACTGCAAGCTGGCCACAGCTGCTCCAGTGCAACTTAGATCCCTGGCCCAGAGGTGATCGACATGGCACAGCAGACCTCTTCTATCTCACCTGCTGCTCCCCTCAGCAGTGTACTTTGTCGATCTGCCTACTTGGATCCCCACTCTGTCTCTGGTGAATCTTCTCACCCCCCCTGCACCTCTGGCCTGTACCCCAGGTCTATAAGAATAAATAAATCTTTAGAAAAAAAAATTTCGTTATAAAAAAAAAAAAAGAAGCATGCATGGCAAAGTTGGTAAAAGGCCTGTGAATGGATAACTGCAGACATTTCAAGCCTGGATAGAGATTTCCATTTGCAAGCGCAATGCATATATGAAAAGAATAAAAACTGACATGATAAAATCAAGGACCTGAAAGGAAATCCCCCAGGTCTAAAAGTGATGAGCAGAATGGCTTCATAGGCCTGGCACAGAGATCCTGGTGCTCACTACTTCACATGCCACTTAGCATCACGCCACTGGTCTTAGGCTCCTTCTTGAGCTTATTCTTTGGACTTGCAATGCCCTTTTCCTTCATAGTCCTAGGTTCTTTCATCTTTAGATGCTAAGGCTGGACAAAATAATTTGTAAATTTTCGTGCACCTGCACGACTTCATGACACAGTTTGAATCTTGTTCCTCCAGGGCACGACCATATTGACATCACTGACTTCTGTGCTGCATGATAGCAAAGAATTCTCCAACCCAGAGGTGTTTGACCCTGGCCACTTCCTGGACAAGAGTGGCAACTTTAGGAAGAGTGACTACTTCATGGCATTTTCAGCAGGTAGTGAAGCTCTTTTATATTCTTTGTGCATCAGAAGACAAAACAGCTTTTAAGGAGAGTTAGGACCTTACATAGCCCCTCTCCAGGCTGGGCAGTTGCTCCTGTCCATTAGCAGGAGCACCGAGCCCTGGGTCCATGCACTTTCCCTCCTCATGATGCAGCCACTTGTGGGCCAGATCACGGCAGCTTTTGGGGAATTGATCCAGTTCCTCTAAATTTAGAACTGATTTAGAATGAGGTACTGAAAGTATAAGAATAGTGTGTTTTGCACAGAGGAACAGCACTGTAATACAAAACTTGAAACTTCACTGTGTGTTGTAGATTGAACAGGTCTAAAGGAACTGTAGATTGAATGTTGTAAAGAACAGGTCTCGGAGTGGAGAGCTGAGACTGAAGAGAGAGAAGATTTTGAACCACCTGATTCATGCAGCAGAAAGCGTGACAAAGTATTTGTTTCTAGAAGATTGATGGAAAAGTTAGTTACCAAACAAGGGGTTTTAACTTGAGAATACTTAATGAAGTGTTTGGCACAGTGTTGATAATATGTAAACATTTGTTGAAAGGAAGATATCCATTAAATTAGCATAAATGGATTGCATTCCTGTCTCCTTTGTCCATTTATCTATCCAAACATCCTCCTACATCATGCCTCAGCTTTTCATCAAATATTTATTGTATAGAACACAGTGTTCAAGGATCATATCTGTGTATTTGTTATTTTCAGGAAAACGGGCATGTGCAGGAGAGGGCCTGGCCCGCATGGAGCTGTTTTTGTTCCTCACCACCATCTTACAGAAGTTTACCCTGAAGTCCGTGGTTGACCCCAAGGACATTGACACCACCCCAGTGGTCAATGGATTTATTTCTGTGCCTCCTCATTACCAGCTCTGTTTCATTCCTTTATGAGGAAGGACAAATCATCAGGATTCCGCTGTGAGGTCCACAACTCCTCACAGTGGGTCCACAACTCCACCTCACCTGTTGCCCCCTTCACCTCCTTCTCCTCCTTCCCTTCCTGGGAATATCTTCTCCGACCTCTCCTCTCCTGGTCACCCTATCCTGTCAGGATCCAGGCAGGAACATCCCATCTCTCCTAAAGGATTTCCAGAATTCACTGCACAAATATATACAGCTATTCTCCTTCCCATAACACTTCATTGGGCATCTCATATTAATACTTATCTAGTATTCAAGCTAGTTCAGTATCATCAGTGTGACAAAGTGAGGTGATTGGTGTATATAACACAGACGTTTCTCCTCTGTATGTGCTCAATAAAACTCACAATCTCATGAACCAGTTCTCATGCTTTCATTCCTTTGTGTATAATGCGTATAACAAATGGAAGAAAGTATTATAAAAAGAGGCCATGCAGAGAGAAGGACAGAAGTAACGAGGGCAGACCAGCGTGTCACCTGGAGTTTCTTGGGGTTTGGATTTGCATGTGAGAGTTGTGTTCAGGAGCAGCTTTATCTGAAGATCAATATGACATCAGTATTCACAGTATCTATTTCTGTAGAGTTCTAGAAATGACAAAGGGAATCTGTGGTGCTAGAATCCAGAGCTGTGTTGATTCTGATAATGGAGAGTGATTGAGAAAGGTGTGAGGACTTTCCGGAGAGGGTGATTTTTCTGTCTTGATATGATCCGATTCTGCAGGTGTTGGTGTTTGTCAAAGCTGACTAAACCGTATACTTAATTCTTATTAGAAGATCCTGGTAACCTCAAATGAGCACTTACTTTAAGGCCTATCCCAAAAGGAAAGATATTTTAAGTACCTGAAAATAAATCTATTCCTTTATTCTGATGTAGATGACGATATGTTGTTTTTTTTTTCTTGACTTCTCTGCCTCTTCTCTAGAAGAAATGTCTCAAATACAGGAAACTGCTAAGAACCAAATATACATGCTATTTCTTTTTGTGTGTGTGTGTGTGTGCCTTTTTTCCATCTCAGTTGTAATCTCCATGGATTTCCCATCACTAATTCACCCATGTACCATCACCATAGTCCTGTGCTCTTTTTTAATCCCATTCCCTACTCAACCCCTGTGAAATGTTTCTGGTATATAGTTGTTCATTATTTTTTTCCCCCCAGTACTTTATGCTCTAGGTATGAGTGAGACCATCTGATATTTTTCTTTTTCTTCCTGGCTTTTTTCACTAAGCAAGATTCCTTCCAGCTTCATCCATGTACCGCAAAAGGCATGAGTTGATGCTGAGTAATATTCCATTGTGTATATGCACCACATTTTTTTTTTAAGATTTATTTATTTATGCTTACAGAACTGGGGTCCAGGCCAGAGGTGTGGTGGGTGAGAGGATTCACCAGAGACAGAGTGGGAAGCAGAACAGAGTGGGGAGCAGCAGGCGGGCCAGGAGAGGTCTGCCACGCCATATGGGTCAGCTTCCTGGGTGGGGATCGAACTTGTGCTGCAGTGGCTTCAAAGAGCTTCATAATGTGGTGCTTTAACCCATCAAGCCACCAGGGAGAGCCCGCACCACATCTTTTTTAATCCAGAGATGATGATATGTCTATCTATACTTGTCTTTGAAAGCACAGGTGAATACTATTCTTTGCTCTATAGTTACAAAATCTACTGTTACAATGTGTGATTTGGGTCAGTACTCGATAAAATGTTCTTTTATACCTACACTGTTGCGTGAACACACATATGCACACACACAAAGACAGATGCACAAGAGCTCCCTGAGTCTCTGCTCCTGCCCTTCCTTCTACACATGAGAGTTGGTAGACACCAATTCTAATGACAGATTCGGTGCCCCTGAAAAGTTTTCAATGACGCCATTAGAGGGAACAGCCCATTAAGGTGACAGCTATAGCCATCAATCATTGTTTTTTCCGAGTCCTCCACAGGCAGGCGGGCTTCTTCTTGAGCTTAGTCGTCAGTGCTCCGCTTCCCCATCCCAAAATTCTTCAGGGTCATGAGGTAGAAGCTCTGCATCTCCTTCCATAGCTTTCTATTGCTAAAACCAACTCCTTCCAGGAGAGGAGCAGATGCTGGAAATGCAGGTCCTAAGCAAGGAGGAGGAACCTGACACTTAGCTGCCACCAGAATGAATCGAGAATACTGAGATCTTTAAGTCTCTTTTCCATTCTCTCTTCCCCCATTTCCAATGCTATACCTTCCTCATACTCATTCTCGCCAAGTCCTTTACTAACTCTTTCAGCCAGAGAGAAATTACCTCACTAGCAAGGTCCTCTCCAATATCAATCAGCTCTTCCTTCACTGCTTCCTATCTGTACACCACCACAGTGGACTTCATGCCAAGATAGAGTGCACACAGGGCCATTGTCTTTGGAAAGCTGGAACTAGGAATGAAAATGTAGTCATTAGCAAAGTAAGTCACTTTTTGGTCTAACTATTGTGTCTGATTCAGGCTGATATAGTCATCAAAAATAAAATTCATATTGTGTCATCACAGCATCAAATATATCTAATTTTACCCATCTATACGATGATTGCTAGAGCTGCTGTTTGCATACAGGTTGCCTGCTGTTTGCCAGGCAATGATACACCATCGTACACAAATCATATATCATGCTTATAGTGACACATTCAGAAAGCTAATTTGTTATGATCTAGAAACTGAAGTCAGAGAGTTATAATTTCATTTGCAGTGTACCATGGCTAATAAATAGAAGACCCTAATTTGAAGCTCTGTTTTGCCAACCTCTGATTTTTGAGCAGTCATAGTACTCAGTATTGTCCATATGCAGCCGAATGCTTTAGGGTTGCCTGTGGGGCTCTTCGCATGGGATTCTGACTTTGTAGTTCTGGAAAGATATGGGAAGTTTTTAAACGAGCTCAGATGATTCTAGCTAGCAAATAGTGCAATTCAGGGTCACTGGTATTGCTTGCACAGGAGAGGGAATGCCGCGGAGGAAATGTCAGGATGAAGCTCTCATGGAAGAATATCTCCTTCCATTCTGCAGTGTTCATTGGGCACAAAGTCCAGGATGACTTTCGCCACATCTAAGATCCTACTGAGCCTGTAGCTGTTTATTGACACAAGGTATAATTTTCTTCTTCAGAAAAGTTTAATTTTCATGACTAATCTGAACTTGATGACAAATAACAAAAGCTAAAGCTCAAAAAGCAGACAACTTTCATAAACTGAAAGCTCATAAGCACGTCTTCAATAAATCTCTATTCAAAAAACACCACATTACTATATAACTTCAGGTAGAAAACAATAATCAGCCAATGACTTGCTAAGGTCAGCAGCACCCAGACTATTACCATTTTATTTTTTTATTATTGTTAGTTTTGAAGTATGCTTTATTGTTTTTTAATATATTCATTATATCATTCTTCATTTTCATAAAATGTATGGTTTCCCTGTGAAATTCCTGCCACCAATTCACTCATGCACCACCATAGTAGTTTGCTCTTCCCACCCCTGTCTTTATTTGATCTTATGTTAGAATGACTTAAATGTTTGTTCTCTCAATGTATTGTTTCATTCCATTATCTGACAATGACAAAGTAAAAGAAAAAAAAATCAATGGAGAAATTAAATGGCATAGGGACTATTTTCTGATAATTACATTGCAATAATTTGCCATCATTTTACTTAAAATTGAGGGTTAATTTATTTATTTTTGCAACCCAGAAGGAGCATAAATCATAATTACATTACTTAGACACCTGCTGACATCCTTCACATCTAACTGTAGGATATTTCCAGGAATTGGGGCCAGGGAGGAGCCTCCCTCCCTCATAAGCTGTTTCCAGAGAGAAAGGAGCAGCAAATAGCAGCGACAGAGCACCAGAACCATAAACAGATCCACTGCTGCTTTCTCTTCTTGCCTAAAAAACTGTGATCCTGAAATCTAAAACTTCAAACAACATTCCCCTCTATTTTATCATATGCTTCCTAGAGGTATAATGAGAACAGTCATCTGAGTCAACTTAATCTCTGAGTGACTTTAAGCCCACTAAGATAAAAGTAAAGGTTTTTAGCTTTTCTGTTCTCATTCAAATCCACTACTCTTGAAATTCAGGTTTAGTTAGTGATATTTATTCTGTATTGATTAATACAGTCATTCCTAGTCTCATTTAGTAAAGATTGAGATTTTCAAGATCCCAGTTGCACAGCATTGTACTCCTACATTGACAAAGAGATTGACAGAAACTTCTCGTCCATATTTCCTTTTGACTCTCTAAATTATCTTTGCTTTACATAAAATGATTCCAATTTCACGATGAGGAAGCTGGCCTTGGAGTTTCCCTGTGTCCTTGGCCAAGGACACAAACTGCAGGTGATAGAAAAGTTGTGAGAGTTGAGGCCTCTGAGTCAGACTTTCTTTCCTCATGCAAAATGCTGAGTGTGTGCTATGATCCACTATTCCGGGATTCACCCTAGATAGCAATGTCGAAAGTAAAAATCGTTTTAGCTAATAATTATACCACCTGTTGAAAATGAGGTTCAGAAAATTTTAGTGATATAATCTTTAAACTTGATGAAATCCAGATGCTGATAATCCTTTACCCAAGACAATGAGAAGTAGTAATGTACTGATTGACTCAGACAGAGCTGATGTCTAAAAGAAATTCAATAGCTTATTTGAGATAAAATAAGCTCAGTCGCCTACCTCAGGGAAACTTTTTTTTAAAGATTTTTTGTTTATGTGTATAAGAACTGCGGTACAGGCCAGAGGTGCAGGGATGAGAGGATCCACCAGAGACAGAGTGGGGAGCAGAAGAGGTGAACTGACTGAAATACTGAAATACCAATTGAAGAGAGCAGGAGAGGTCTGCTGCACCATGTGGGTCACCTCCCTGGCCAGGGATTGAACTCATATTGCAGTGGCTTCCAATACCGTCATAGTGCTGTGCCTTAACACCCTGTGCCACTAGGGAGGCCCCAGGGGAAGTTCTCTAGGAGCTTCCTAGAGAGATGGTATCCCTGCCTAGCTCCTCCTTCCTCCTGCCTAGTCCTATCATTAATAGAATGAAAGAATCATAGGTAACTTAAACATAGAGAAGTTCTCTAAGGTCGGCTAGTGTAATTTTATTTTCAGGTATGAACAATTTGTGACTCTGACGGGAAGGGCTACCAGTGTTTCTGTTTTAGACTTCGTCTTAGAATGTGGGTTTCTCCATTCCTCCATAAGGTGACTTCTCACACAGAAGTTACTTTCCATTGTTGACCTAATGTATGCACAGGAAGGTAGTGGTATGAACCCTCCATTGTCACAGAGTGATGCAAACATTGCCTTGGCTTCAGTTATTGGTACGAGCTATTCCTTTCAATTGATAGACTATGTTTTTAGAACAGTTTTAGGTTCACAACAAAATTGAACAAAAAGTACACATAGCTCCCACACCTTCCTTTTCATACCTATGCACAGCCTTTCCCATCAACATCCCAAACTGGAGAGGCACATTCGGTACAAGTGATCAATCATCATCAACATCACTGTCAACAAAGTTTACAACAACCAAGTTCATTCTTTTTATTCTACACTCCATGGGTTTTGCAAAATTTATGTTAATGTACATACACCATTACAGTATTACCAGGATAATTTCACTGTGTCCTCTTATTCATTCTTTTTCTCAAATTCTTGGAAACCACTGACCTTTTTATTATCGTCATAGTCTTGTCTCTTCTAGCATATCATATAATGGGCTCAATGTGTAGCCTTGTCTTAGTGATGTTTTTTACTTAGTAATATGCCTTAAAGATTCCTTCATGTCTTTTCATGACTTGATTGCTCAGCCCTTTTAAGTGTTGAAATTGTTTTGTTGCATAGATGTACCACAGTTTATCTAGTGTTTGCAAATGTTTAAACCCTAAATAAACTGTGGGTAAATAAAACCCTAAATAAACTGTGGGTAATAAATAAATCCACTTTGTTCATTGTGGATAAAGCTGCAATAAAAATTGTATGTTCTGGTTTTAGTTTGAGTCAGGTTTTCAGCTTATCTGGCTAAGATAGAGTGTGATGGCTAGATCACATAATAAAACTGTCTTTTTTTTTTCCTTAAAATTTTTATTTATGCATGCATGCAGAACTGGGGTACAGGCCACTGGTGCAGAAGCAATGAAAGGATTCACAGAATGGGGAGTAGATTAGGCCACTTGACAAAGTACACTGCTGAGGGGAGAACTGGGCAGGTCAGGAGAGGTCTGCTGCGCCATGTGGGTCACTTCCCTGGCCGAAGGCCTGCTGAAGTGGCTTTAGCTTTGTAGTGCTGTGCTTTAATAGAATGTTTTATTTTAGGAAAAGTTTGAAAAAAATCTAAATATCTTTAAAAAAGGGAGATAATTTTAAAAATTATTATAGCTATGCAACAAAAATAAAGGAGGTACATTAATTTATATATATATTTAACTACAAAATCATAGCTTTTATATGTATATATACATAAGCACATAAAATAAATACATGTATTTCATGTATGTATTTAAATCTAACTATATATACATGCACTCTTACCCTCTTCTTTGCCTTAAAATGCCAGTATGTCTGGTTCTATGTATGTGTGTGCAAATGTTTAAACACTAAGGGGAAAAAGGAAGGACATCCTTGGACCTATCAGGAAGTTTGAGTATTCCATGATCTCAGTTTGCAAAGGTATATCTAGATTCTCAATATCCTAATTACATGGTGTTATAGTCCTAAATTAACAGGAGATTGACAGAGAAAAGTGTTATTCCCTCTAACTGGAATGATCATCTTTGTTTTCTTCCTCCATGTCTGTATGGCACATACACACATACACACACACACACACATATACATTATATAGATACATACATGTAATGATATTTTAATAAGAACTGGGAAAAGCAGAAATTATACAAGTCAAATTATCTAGAAGTCATTCCATTAGAGAGCTAGATAAAAGAAATACATGAATTTCATAACTAAGAAATATTAAAGTCATGAGACCATTTGCAATTTTTTTAAAAGATTATTCATTCATACAGTATTGGGGTACAAGCCAGAGGTGCAGGGGCCATGAAAGGAGTCACCAGAGACAGACAGAGTGGGGAGCAGAACAGGCAGAATGATGAAGTACACTGCTGAGGAGAGCAGCAGGCAAGACAGGAGAGGTCTGCCTAGTCATGTGGGTCACTTTCGTGGCCAGGGATCGAACTTGTTCTGAAGCGGCTTTGGCTAGCTTCATAGTGCTGTGCTTTTAACCCATTGCACCACCAGGCAGGGCCCCCATTTCCAATTTTTAATAAAACAGACATATGTAGTCACCTACCTATCCACTGCAGGTGAGATAGTGCAAGAGACCTTAAAATTGCATTACATAGGTATTTTATTAGAAATCAGACAGTGAAACTCATTTCATGCACGGAAATTTGAACTTATTTCATGCAAGGAAATTTGAACTGAATCTTAACAGATTAGAAAAAACATTTACTCCTGCTGTTAAGAGGTGGGTGTCGGCTCACTCCCAGCCAGCAATCACTACTCAGCAACATGGCAGCCTGCCTCTTCTTCAGACTGGGATGAAACAGAGTTCAAAGAAGGGTGGGACGGCACCGATTGCACTGTGTACTGGTGTGGTGTCAATGTCCTTTGGATCAACCAGAGATTTCAAGGTAAAATGCTGTAAAATGGTGGTCAGAAATAAAAATAGCTCCATTCGGGCCAGGCCTTCTCCAAGACAAACTCTCTTCCCTAAAAAAAGAAAGCTAAGTTAAATGTCCATTGAATTCTCTTTCTAAGCCAACACACAGGGAAACTTAAATAAATATGAAATGAATAAATAAATATAATATTTTTAAAAAGACTAATCAACCTATGGCTTCTTTTATCTACACCAAAACATGGTTTTCTTCACTTTTGTTGGCACATATTTCTGTGCATGTGCTGTGTGAAAACCTTTTCTGTACACCCATGTAGGAATTGCTGTGCTACAGTTTGCCAGTGATGTCTTTCTACACATACACACACTCCACACTCGCCTATCCCAGTTGACATGAGACTTTCCCATCTACTTCAACCTAAGATTCATCAATAAAGGTCCTTCTTCCTACTTAGATAATCTTATCCTTGTCTTGTCCCTGCTTTTAAAAAGATTTCAAGGACTTAGCATTGCGCAGTATACAAAAAAACCATAAACTAACTACAAACCTTCCTAGCTTTGCCCAGTCCCCAAACAAGCTGGTGATTGTAGATATTACCTCAGATTCCAGTCATTGCTCTGCGCAGCATGCTGATAATCCATCCTTCTAGATCTACCTCACATGTCTGTGATGCTCATGCAAAGTTCTTTGGCATGCAAAGGGTATACAATACAATCCCTTATCTGTTTTCTACAACACTCACCAATTTTTTTTTAAAGATTTATTTATGTATACAGAACTGGGGTACAGGCCAGGGCAGGGGCAGTGAGAGGATTCACCAGTGACAGAGTGGGAAGAACAGGCAGAACTGACAAAGCACACTGCTGAGGGGAGCAGCGGGCGGGTCAGGAGATGTTGCTGTGCCATATGGGTCACTCCGGGGCTGGGATCAAACTCATGCAGAAGTGGCTTTAGCTTTATAGTGCTGTGCTTTAACCTGCTGTGTCACCAGGGAGGGCCACATTAATGTTTTTATTGATAATAGAGTCCATTTCACATTTTACATGGTGTCACAATCTGCCTCATTATTATCATAGTAAATATCATGCCCACCAGCACCAGGACAGAGCTGGTCAAGACCAAACTCGGAAGCAAAAGGGGCCTGGATGCAGTTCCTAGAAGCGCCTGCCTCTGTCTCTGAAATGCTGGTGCGGCAGAGCAGAGAGTCCTCCTCAGCACTCCTCCCAGCCAGCCCTCGCGTCTCCCCAGTGCAGGCTGGAGGCCTAGAGCATGAGCTCCTGTGTGTCCATTCCTTGCCCAATGACTAAACCTCATTTCCTCTCATCAACTGTGTGTCTCTGGTGTTGACTTTCAACCAGAGAGCAAGCAGACCTGGCTCTGATAACAGGTCTTCAGTGAGCTTCATTGACTGAACTGGCTTCTCAGGTCAGGTGAAAGAGGTCTTCATGGAAGTACAGTTCCAGGAGGAGCCCTTTGGAACCTCTGGTAGGTTATGGACAGGGAGTGCAGACTCCAGTCCAGTGAGAAGTACCCTGGACCTCAGGACTATGCCTCTGACCACCTACGAAATAACAGTTCACCCAGCCCAGAGAAACGTCTGTGCAAAGCCCTTCGTCATCTCACTTGACCCCTTGTTATATATATGTAAGTTAATGAGGTTTGCTTGCCTGATGAGAAAGCCATGAAGTAGTCACTCTTCTTAAAGTTATTACTTTTATCGAGGAAATGGCCAGGATCAAACTTCTTTGGCTCAGGAAACTCTTTGCCATCATGTAGCACAGAAGTCAGAGAGACTAGTATGCTCGTGCCCTGATAGAAAGGAAAAAGATAAATTGGATGACAAAGAAGTGAGGCTTTCAGAGAAGAAATTTTCTTATCTAATCCTTTCAGTTTACAGATGAGATTGAGCCATTTGCTCCGTGTCACAGAACAAATTCATGACCACGTCTAATAGCCATTAAATCATGCATGCCTGTCAGATCGTGGTGAGAAATACAGGGTTGAAGCCAGAGGCATGGGGGTGAGAGGGTTCACTGGAGACAGAGTGGAGAACAGAAAGGGGGTATTTAGTGAAACACCTGCAAGGGAGCAGGTCTGCACACAAAGGAGGCCCTCTTGTATACTCTGTTTTTGTGGGCTCTCTAACTTGGGGTGCCAGCTTGTACTAGTTATCTGCGGTGATGTCTGGTGTCAGAGGCCCTGGCCTTTGACTCAAATACTTTCTGTGGCCTACTGTGCATTCTGGTTCTTCTGGTTATTGTGGTCAGTCTTATGGCCTGCTATCAGCAGCCACTGCAGCATGAATTTGGGGGTGACCCTCATAACACAGCAGGCCTCTCCTGTCTCAACTACTGTTCCCCTCAACAGGGTATTTCAGTGGACCTGCCTGTTCTGCTCCCCATTCTGTCTCGGCTGGATTTTCTCACCACTACCCCTGCCCTGCACTTCTGGCCTATACCCCAGTTCTTTTGTGTATAAATAAATAAATATTTAAAAAGAAAAGCTAGTGAATTTAGAGACATAGGAATAGGGGAATAGATGAACTGACCAATAGAAAATAACTATAAACTCTGAAATCTCCATACATACACTTGTAGCCAAAAGTTAAGTGGAGAGTAAATTATTATAAAGTACAAGTATTATAAATTATTATAAAATACAAGTGAGAGGAAAAAAAGTTTATCGGACACAGCTTGAGCAACTAAAAGCAAAATCCCTGAGCTGAGCTCCAAGGTCAACTGGAGACGAGCTCAGAGGTAGGAGCACAGGGACAGACACTCAACCCTTCCATTACCTGAGGAAGCCCTCTTTGTACTTCACCTCTGAACTGCTCTGGGACTAGTCAATGACCTTGAGCCAAGTCCACATTTCCATGCTTCTTAACCTATAAATTTACAGGTCGATTGACGAAGTACACTGCTGGGTGGAGCACCCGGCGGGTCAGGAGAGGTCTGCCGCGCCATGTGGGTCACCTCCCCGGCAGGCGGGGATCGAGCTCACGAAGAAGTGGTTTTAGCTTCTTAGTGCTGCGCTTTAACCCGCTGCGCCACCAGGGAGGGCCTCAGCCTATAAAATTTAACTCCTTTGTCCTCAACCTTGGTCCCCCAAGCCTGTGGAACGTGATTCCCTTTCTTAATTGGGGAGGTAGGTTTGAGTCTCTTCCTCCCTCCTTGCCAACTGATTCACGATGACATCGTTGTTGACATCAGGCACCACCTGGTCGCCGGCTGGGTACCTCAGTCTAAACCAAACGCGCAGGCCTTTGCGCCGCGGGCCTCTGTGGCTATCACATGCGGCCCTGAGTGCGGTGGGCGGCGCTGGGAGCAGGGCTGGGGCACGTGCCTGATGGTCGACACCTGCCGTGCTGCCTAAGTGGGCACACCTGGACCTGCAGGCAGGAGCACACCTGCGCAGAGGCGGTGCGCGGTGGAGAACGCTAAGGGAGGATGAGCGACAGCTGCGAGAGGAAGAGGCCCCGAGAAGACGCCAGACAAAGCCCGGAGATTCCGGGGGGCCTGGGCCTCTCGGCGCTCCCCAGCCCCACTCTGCCCTGGTTGCTGGCACCATAGGTAGAGAACCCCAAGGCCTAGTAACAGCAGTGTGAAGCTATGGTAGAGGAGAAAACGCTTGAAAAAAGAAAAGGAACCGACTCCGAGCAGCACAGCACGAGTGAGTAGAGCTGACTGCATGGCCGTGGGCCCGCTGGTGTGGCAGGCACATTCCAGACTCAGGAGATCAACGTCTCGAATTCTACTGTGATAAAGTGACCGGGTTTGTTTTTTTTTTTTAATCAAAGGAAACCTTTTCTTTGAAATCATACTAGGTGTCACATTAGACATTACCCGATGCCCACAAAAAGCCAATTGAAATTTAATTTTTTTATGCATAGAAGCGCTGGGGTACAGGCCAGAGGTGAGGGGAGCGCTGAGAGGATTCAGAGTGGGGAGCAGAATAGGTGAAATACTCTGCTGAGGGGGGAGCAGCAGCCCACCCAGGAGAGGTCTGCAGCGGCTGCGGACAGCTTCCTAGTGCTGCGTCTTAGCTCTGCGCCACAGGGAGAGGCCTTTCTAAAATTTCTTCCGTCATTGTTGCCTTTTGTACAGTTGTCGCTTTCTACAGTAGTCCCGGCCACAGTTCTCCCCCGCCATAGTTCTCCCCGGCGGCAGACTGTGAACTCCCTCCCTGTGTGGGCCCCTACCTTGCTGTAAGCCTCAGATCTATGGTCAGCTTGCTAGTTTTATCTTTTGTTGACCTGAGATGTCTAAAGTGGATCACAGATGAAAACCTCTCACCTTGGGAATATGGAATCCTCTGAAATTGATGTTCTGAGTTACTGCATGGGGCAGGCCGTTGGGTCCCAGGTCAATGAATCTCTGGACCTCGTGCACCAAGGCGTCCACGTAGGGCATGCGGCTCCGGTCCTGCATGCAGGGGCTCCGGTGTCTGCCCACCACGCGCTGGATCTCCTCCTGGGCCTTGGCTGGCAATAAATATGAGAATCAGAATTTGTGTGCAAAGGGAAAGACTTTGTGTTCTTCTTGGACCTGGCGATATGGTGAGGGAAGATGTACAGAGGGGAGTCCTGAGGCGGTGCTAGGGGGAGGAGGAATTTGTGTTTCTTGGGCATATTGGGATCTCATGAAAGACCTAAAAGAGGTATCTATAAACACAGTTGTACTAAAAACTCACTTCTCAGGTCTAATACCTTGCTTTGTGTGCTTTTCTTTAGTGAACTTAGGTGAGGCAGCATTTTGGAGATTCTCTAAAGGCCACGGAGCTGAACCATTTGAGTAGTCAGATTTTAAGTATGTTAAGTTCCAAAGGACAAGAGCTACCTGGCACACAAATGCTAAAGGACTAGAACCATTGGTAAGATGTGTAGTTGACTCAGCACAGAGGAACAAGGAATAAGTTAATTAGACAGTAAAATGTAACAGGTGAGCTGCACTGTTCTATTACTTTATAATTCCTCACAGTAATCCTATATTATTTTGTGCATTTTACAAATGAGAAAACAGACCCTGAGGAGTATTTTGTATTATCCAGGTTTTATGGGGGTATTTCCCATCCTCAAATTTAGAAATTGAGTAAGGTTACAAAAAGGAATTTGTATTCATGAAGCATATTTCCCTTTATCTGCAAAGCTAATAATGCGTAACTTGTAATATGTGACTTAAGTATGACAGGTATTAAAAGAGATTAACTTTTTTCAATAAATGTCAGGAAGTATAATTTTCTCCTTTAAAACAGATGAGGGGGGCTCTCCCTGGTGGTGCAGTAGTTAAAACACCGCACTATGAAGCTCTCAGAAGCCACTGCAAAATGAGTTCAATCCCCAGCCAGGGAGCTGACCCGCATGGCGTGGCAGACCTCTCCTGACCCGTCCGCTGCTCCCCTCAGCAGTGCACTTTGTCCATCTGCCTATTCTGCTCCCCACGTTGTCTCTGGTGAACCCTCTCACCCCCCACACATCTGACCTGTACCCCATAAATAAATAAATCTTTAAAAAAATAAAATAAAAGTAAAACAGAGGGTATGAGGTAGGGAAAGAACCATGTATCTGAGGTCAGATTGAGTAGTCAAAACCTGTGAGAGGTCACATAGCTACTTCCTAATAGACAGAATCCTATGCCACTGTTGTTAGGTCTGTGACTCATTTCTCCAGTACCATGTTGTGACTTTTGCCAAATAGCATTTACTTACTGCCAGAAGAACATATCTTTGTAATGGGATATGGAAAAAACTCTATGGGACTAGACATGAAGGAAAAAAGTGGGCAGATCTCCTGCCTGCCTGTGACTATGCAGGTGCTTCTCTTTTCCTTTTCCTTCCCCTAGTAAACCTGTCCTTTTAAAATTTAAAGCGAGAGGGCCCTGGTGGCACAAGAAGTTAAACTGCAGCACTGCAAGCTAGCCACAAAGTGTGGAGCAGGACAGCAGGTTGACAAAGTACACTGCTGAGGGGATCAGCGGGTGAGACAGTGAAGGAGTTCTATCCCCGCCCCGGTGGTGACCCACATGGCGCAGCAGACCCCTCCTCTCTCGGCCCTGCTCCCCTCAGAGTACCTTGCCTAACTGCCTGGTCTGCCCACCATCTCTGGTGAATCCTCTCACCACCCCTCCACCTCTGGCCTGTACCCCAGTTCTACATGCATACATAAATAAATCTGTAAAAAAAATAAAATAAAATGTGAAGCAAGGGAAAAGAGAAAAAGTTGGGCATTTCAGAGAAGTTTAAAACTTCACCTCAGGTTGAGAGGCTAGAGTTTAAGGTAGTGAGAACACTTACAAAGAGCAGTTAGAAGCTACTTACAAATTCAGAATGCTCTATAGGGGGTTGGGGGGGAAGGGTAATATAAGTAGATGGTGATACAAGAAAGACTCATTGAAAGTGGAGGTGATGGTGAAATTTTGCAGTGCACCCAAGATTTAGAGGACAATGTCTTATACTATTATAATCAACATAGTTGGTTGTTCTCGATCGACTTGAAACAAAACAAACCCTAGAGCTCTGGCTACAGAATTGAGGCTGTGAGACGAGATGGAGACCTGGCCAGAGGGAGAGGGGGACAGAGTGGAGAGGGCACACAGGCTCGTTGTGCAGGATGTAGGGCTCTGGTGGTGGGTGTGGTGTGTTGATTTATCTGAAGAGATGTGGACTTTCTCCCCTAGATCATGTACAGTGCTGTAAACCGACTACCTCAATTAAAAAAAATCTTGGAGCATGAAGGATGGGAAATTATTGGAAAGAATCTATATCAGGTGAAAATAAGGCAGCTGCATCATATCCCACAAATGTTTGAGGGAAGGACTCGTAAATGGCGCCATATAGCCTTGTGTGTAATGGGAAGTATTTAAACAAGTGGGAAAACCTGGTGCTGATGTCAGAGATAAGCTTCATGAGGTTTAATTGTACTAAAATTACCTTAATGCCCCAAAGTGCCAGTAAGGGAAATATTTTCTTGGATGCAGACTCAAGAAAAAAAAAAGAGGACAAAACGGAAAAGTCGGATTTGCAAAAGAAATTATGTTTGCAAGGAAATTTTTTTTATATATAATAGTTTTTTTTTTTTAAAGATTTATTTGTGCATACAGAACTGGGGTACAGGCCAGAGGCTCAGGGGCGGTGAGAGGCTTCACCAGATACAGAGTGGGGAGCAGAACAGGCAGATTGATGAAGTGCACTGCTGAGGGGAGCAGTGGGCAGGTCAGGAGAGGTCTGCCACGCCATGTGGTCACCACCAGGGCAGGCGGGAATCGAACTCCTGCAGAAGTGGCTTTAGATTCTCAGCGCTGTGCTTTAACCCACTGTGCCACCAGGGAGGGCCTATAATAGTTTTTTTTAACATCATTTTGTGCATTTTTTCATCTCAGTTGTAATCCCCATGGGCTTCCCATCACCAAATCACCCTGTGCCATCACCATAGTCCAGTGCATTTCCCTCCCGTCACTGTTGATCCCATGTCCCCACTCCACCCCCATAAAACATCTGTGGTATATGGCTGTTCATTATTATTTTCTCACCTGGTCCATTATATTCCTGCTATGAGTGAAACCATCCGGTCAGTATTTAGGGAAATTTTTTTTACCTAAAACGGTGTATTTGAAAAGATAACATTTTTATTGTGTACACCTTTTTTTTTTTTGAGAGTGAGTCTCTTTGATAGAGAAATACTGTGATTTTTTTGAGTTAATTCTTACATTTCAAATTAACTACAGTAGAAATAATTTTTAATAAAAATATACTTTTCTGGACAAGTGAGTTTTTTTAGAGAAAGAGGAAGGCAAATTCTATCCAGATCTTCAGACAACTGTTTACTGACCTGTACTGACCCACATCAAGGAAAAAAGGGAAAAGCCAGGCTTCTGCCCTTCAAATTTCTGCTGCTGTTTAAACATTTTGTTCTCTTTTGATATTGTTGATATAATCTAATTTGAATGCAGTACATCCAGTGATAGCAAAAATTCCTAGTGTTGCTGCCAATTTCTGCCTGGAATTCCATCCTGCCTGTGGTCATACCTGTGACCTCTGGGTGCTTCAGCAGCAGGAGGATGGCGTATCTCAGGGTGGTGCTCGTGGTCTCTATTCCTGCGCTCAACACATCCCATATGGTAACAATCAAGTTGTCCATGGTAAATTCGGACTTTTTGTCATGTTTTTCCTAGCAACAATGTGTTAGAATTACTTGCCAAAGAAGAAAGCCTTTGAGGTAACATAAATCAATATATCATAATTTGCTTATTTGCAAATTAAATCAGACATTAGAGAAGGCTGTTGCTTCCTTAGGTTAAAGTTAGATAAGTTGCTAGGATTCCTTTGAACAATAAAAATATAATCACTCACGAATTTCCAACAAGTCTATAATTTCTTTCAAACAATTGTTATCAAGTTGTCATTCTCAGTTCTAGCATGTTAGTGATTTTATCATGTCAGTCTCCCAGCCCAGCTTCAGTCCTCCTCATCCCATACGGCATCACCAGCACAGACTCACCAGCAATCACACCCACAACAGATCTTCTCAAGAGAAACTGAACATTTCTTTGCAACTATGATTTCCTGAAACCATCTTGTCCTCTTTGTCCATCTCAGCCAAGGCTTCTTCAAAACCTACTTCAATCTGTGAAGATTTCCTACAGTGTTTCCAATATCAATCCTTCTTGGATCTCCAGCCATTCTTGCATTCCCTTATTTGTCAGTCATGGGAATTAATTTGTGGTCCTTAATCTTGAACTTGTGTGTGCCTCCTAGTTTGAATGTGCATGTCAGTCATTCCCCAATAAGCAGTCAACCTTAACATGGTTAATATAAAAACTTCCAAATTATTCTGGCAGGGAATATCTCAAGACACCCAGTATGGGTTACAAAAGGAAACAATACATCTTTAGGGAGGATTGCTTGTTTTAATATCTCAGTTTTCTCAGTTTTACTGGGAAGAACAAAGCTAATCCATGATTAGCTAATTCATCACCCACAAAGATGAAATAGCAAATGGGGCCACATTGTACCTGTTGCATTTTGATCAGGAAGTAGTCAATAAAATCTCGAGGGTTATTGAGGTCGAGGGTTTCTTGGTGTTCTTTTATCTGGTCCACGATGAACTTTTTTTCCTCCTCAATGTTTTTCAATAACTGGTTATGACTTCCAGGAAAGTAATGCAGGAAAAAAGGGAAAATGTTGCAGAGCTGAAAGAGGAAAGAGTCACTTGTTAACTCCAAATTCTTATAAGTGCCTCTTATATATTAGACATTTTGCTATATGATGAACAGATAAAGATAAATAAGACTTGCTTCCCTCATTTGATTGCACTTAGAATTTGAGGGAGAAAACTAGTAAAATGACCAGAGGCACACTATGTATGCATTACATTGTCAGAATCAATTAAATTCTTAGTATGACAGAAGGAATTCAGGAGCATATCACCTCTTCCCAGGTGAGTTATGGAGGTTCATAGGGGTGGTCAAACAATCGAAGATGCCAACAATAATAGAATCTGAAATCACTGTTTATCCAGTTTACCTACCACTACTACTCCAGAGAGTGGCCTAAAAAGTTTGCAGGGCTCATACACCTTTTTTTGTAATGAAGAAACCTTAACAATAAGGTTAAGGAAATGTCTAAATTATTTTTATTCAGGCGCTTTACATTCTGAGAAATGTGCACATTGCTCTATTGGTCTGGCCGTGGCCAGCCCTGGGTTTCACTCGCTCACCGCAGACAGTCTCTCAGGACACTGTATTCCCTTGGCAGACAAGAGAGCAATCTACTCTGACTGCTAGCTTGTATCAGACGACAGAGCCAGGAAAGCCAGAGTCTAGACCCAGCTCAGCCCTTGCCAGCGTGGCTACTTTTGATGATCTGTTTCAGATCCCTGGGTGACAGTTTTTGTTCTAAAACATAAGTTGAGCACTAGTCCTCAGAAGTCTTTCCTAGATGGAATACATCATAACTTTATAATCAGTATAAAAATTTTAGTTGAACTTTTTTTCTTTTAAAAATTTCTTACATTGTGCATTTTTGTACAGTATTGATGTCTCCCCTCAAGAGTGGTCCCTGTGACCCATCACCATGACCCCTGCGCTCTTTCCACCCTTGATTTGCTACCTTTTCTTCTCCTCCCCTACGTGAAACTTTAGTCATTAATGATTGCAAACATGAAATAGCATTTTTTCGGACAGGGTGCTATAATCAGTACATTCTATTCACTGACCTGTTCATCTGCAGACCTAAACATCAGGGGAAATAATGTTTTTAATTAAAATACCACAATGTATGATACTATCTTTTAATTCATCTTTCTGTGACTATATTCCATATGTCAAATTTCATTTCAACACATTAAGTTAATCTGACAACTTACTAATTGATTATAAATAATGGCTTGATAAACTTTAGCAATTTTGAAATAGGGCAGAGGACTGGAGAAGTAGCATAAAGAATAAATCAGCTAGAAAGTTTCTACTTAAAGAGAACCTTGATCTTACTTGTATCCAGGAGGTGCTTGAAATTCTGAAATTTTCATGTAAAGTGTTTAACAACATTATCAATTTATTGTCATTATATTCAAAACGATTCTGGAAAACAATGGAGCAGATCACATTGCTGGGAGCACAGCCCAGAAGGAAAGTAGGATCACAGGGAGATGCTGAAAACAGAGAAGTTAAACATTACAGCACATGTTTTTTATAAATCTGAAGTTGACTGCTCACTGTGATTGAGTGGAGTTGACTTCTAAGATTTTAAAGTATAAAAACTACTTGGGCTTTCCATAATCAGTGTAAACTGAACACACCTAAACTAAAATTTACTGTCTTTTCTCATACAAAACTGTCTAATGCAGACCAAGTTAGTAATTTCCCCAAGTATTCTATCTATAGCCTTCTCCAAGTAAGAGCCACAAGGTAATTCACATGAAGAATAAATATGAGGTCTTCAAATGCATATTAGAAGGTGTGAAATGTAGTTGTCAAGGGGACACTTCTTCATGGTGCCTAAAGGAAGCTGAACAATGACAGACCATATTTTATGAACATAGTGGAAAAAATGGGTATTTCTTATAGCAGAGAAGAACAGGACCTGGTGGCACAGGGCTTACGTCTCAACACTGAAAGTCTCGCACTATGAAGCTGTCAGCATCCACTGCAGCATGAGTTCAGTCCCCAGCCAGGGAGCGGACCCATATGGCGCGGCAGACCTCTCCTGACTGGCCAGCTGCTCCCCTCAGCAGTGTATTTCAGTCACTCTGCCTATTCTGCTCCCCAATCTGTCTTGGTGAATCCTCTCACCCCCTGCACCCCTTGGATTTATAAAACATAAAACTTAAAAAAAAAAAAGCAGTGAAAGGAATTAAATTCACACATTGGAAACAGGCACCCCCATCTGTAAGATTTTAACTAATTTGAAATAATTATTGTGGGGGTTACATTTTGACTTCTCTACATTCACCCCCAAAATATGAAAATTCAGTTCTTATCACTTCTCCTAGGCCCGCCTTCCAGTGCTAGATATTATATATCAAAAGTCCAATACATGTTCATTGGCACTCTATTGCCTTTTTCAGAAATGTATTCTAGGAAGAAACCAGAATCATGTAAATATTTGTAATATTTGCATTTTATATTAGTATCAGCAAAGACCAGTGTAGCTGGATAATGATACAACATTGATTTAAAAACACATTGGCATTAGTCAAATAGAATATAGTGGTGTTAGTTTTCCTGAAAAATATGTAAGATTGAAGCTAGCAAACCCCATCTTATCATCCTGCTCCTGCTCCGCCCCTGTCTCCTCCACACCCCTCAGCCCTGCATGTGTGCAGGCACACACCCCCATACCCATGTGCACACGGGCGGGTTTGTGCTGCCACAGCTCCCTCCCCCTCACCCCCACACCCCTCTGGGTGAACTGTTATGCAGCCCTGCACTCTAGAAGGACTTGCTATGAGTCTTACTGCTGAAACACTGATGCTCCTTTTTCAGTTTTGAGATATAATTAACATACAAAACTGTATAAGGTGAAGGTACATAGCATGATGAGTTGATATATGCATTTTGTGAAATGTGTGTGATTTTTGTCAAGATTTTTGTCAAGAAGCTCCTAGAGAACTTACGGAAACTTTCAAGGTATCAGGACAAAAAATTAACAGACTGATAACAAAAATCCATATTCTCTTTTTTCCCCCCAATTCTATTTTTTTTTTAAATTTTTTTCTTAAGATTTATTTTTTAAAAGATTTATTTATTTATGCATACAGAACTAGGGTACAGCCCAGAGGTGCAGGGGTGGTGAGAGGCTTCACCAGAGACAGAGTGGGGAGCAGAACAGGCAGATCTACGAAGTACACTGCTGAGGGGAGCAGCGGGG